ATTATGTTGTTATGTGCCATCGAGTCGCTTGCCATTCATAGCGACCCTATGTACAACAGCCCTAAAACCTGCTCTGTCCTGTGTCAATTGCACTGTCTCTGACATAGCCATTCTGATTACCCCAGTCATTGAATCAATCCACCTCATAGAGGGTCTTCTCCTCCTGCGCCATCCCTCCACCCTACCAAGCATGATGTCCCTCTCCAAGGACTGGTCTCTCCTTACAACATGTCCAAAGTATGTCAGATGAAGCCTCAGAATCCTTGCCTCAATAGGTATTTTTAAAAAGAAAATAAAAACCATGGGTTCATACCAGTAACTAATTTCTCTTTTCTATTGTCAGTCTGTAATTTCTCTTTTCTATTATCTATCTTCATTCCTAACAACATTAACTTATTTGCTACAGCACATATAAAATAATTTTGAAATAAGGACTGTGGTATTGCTAGTATTATGATATCACTATATGATAGTTATAATTTCTTTGTCGCTCTATCTGACTTTAAAGTATATACCACTGATGTTACACAATAAAAATACTGTGTTCTTTCACAAAAACAGTGTTTTACATCTTACTTTGGTGAGTAGAAACTGAGTCTTAAAAACCTGGGAGCAAAAAAAAACAAAAACAAAAACAAACAAACCCCTGGGAGCAGCCATCGTAGGTGCAACTATTGGGCTCTGCCTGTCTAGAATAAAGCAGAGAAAAGACAAATAGAGACACACTGAAATTATTACTCCAAAGGACCGCTAGAACCTCAGCTTCTAGAATCCGAGTCCAGAAAAAACTAGATGATGGTTCCTGGCTACTTCTGCTGACCCTTCTCAAAGGAATTACAGGATAAAGTTAGGGGAAATGTAAAACAAAACTCAAACATTACAAAGGCCAGAGTTATAGGTCCAATAGAGAAAGGCAGAACCCCTAAACCTATGTCCCTTCAAACCTGGGACAATACTCACCCCGGGGCTCTGTTCTCAGTCTATCGATAGACAAGCCTGTGAGCTGAGCAATAGCACCAGGGAGTCACTCACTCCTTAAAGTAGCCAATCACATGCCGTCAAAGAGCAACGTTTTTAATTACATTTTTTTTTAATTTTTTTGTGTATTATTTTTACGTGTACCGTCAAATCAGATCTGACTGGTACAGGAGGAGATTGCCCCCTCCTCCAGCAGAGCATCTGGTGGATTTGAACTGCGTACCTCTGGAATTGCAGTGCAGTGTCTTTCCACTAGGCCACCAGAGCTGCCTTAATTACATTTTTGTATTGCTTTGTGTACATTCATATGTGTTGTGTTTCTTGAATTTGCACTGTGTTTTATACAATCTTTCATTTACATTATATTTTGCTCATATATATTGTATTTCCCCCTTACAACCATCTTGCCAATAACTACATTCATGAAAGTGCATAAGCCAGCTACTTCATGCCTCCTGCCTTAATATCCCCCTTTTAGATAGCCAGTTTCTGATTTGCCCGACCCTGTCAAACCAGTTCTCTGAAGGAACAAGTGTATCCTTTTTGCTGAATGATCTTGTTTAGACTGGAAAACTTTGAGCATCTGCACCCACAAGCAAAGTCTGGTCTCCAGCAAGTCATCAGGCTGCAGCAAATCGATCATCTCCTCTTCATCTAGTTGGGTTCTGATTAGCTCATCCCCAGCCATGCCTGGCTAGGTTCAAATGGGCATCAGCTGCAATCTCAGGCGTCTACTCTTCTTCCTGCATTCCAGACAGGTTGGCCTCTTCACTCAACCTTAGCCCTCACAAAGGACCACTTCAGTAAGCCAAGGGTCTTTATGATGTCCTGCTCTTCAAACCAGCAACCATTTATTGCTTATTCATACATCTGTGCATGCTAGGTGGCCTGTGCTGGAAGAACACGTCCAAGCTCAGCCTATCTCCCCATTACTGTCTGTCTACTACTTACTCTCCAGTGGATCCAAGTGATCGCTATGAGTGAGCATACTTGTTAGCTCTAAAAGGGCAGCATTTATTCAGTGATAAAGCTCAAAAGGTAGAAAAGAGTAGGGTAGAAGGATTAATGAAAATGAGAAGACAAGGAGGGAGTAGGAAAAGTGGGATTCCATTGTGGGTCTTGTAGTTACTGTTCTAAAACAAAATGTGTATGAATGTTTACATTAAAACCCAACTTGCTTTATAAACTTTCACTCAAATCACAATAAAAACTGTTTTTAAGCAGATGTTTTTGGGGGCTTATGTCGTCTCTTGGATCACTTAATGGAGACACATGGGCAGAATGGTTGAAGGACCTCTCTCCCTGGGCTCATAGTGCATATTAACTCTGATACAAAACACAGTGATGAGCACATGCAATTTAGCAGGTGCAGAAAGACAGTAAGTGCTTCTTAGGGAGAGAACTGGAGGAAGGGTCCCTGGTGCTGGCACAGCGTCCTTGAGAAGGAGAAGCAGAGGCGCTGAGTCAGATAGACCTGTGCTCAAATTCTAGTCCCTTGGAAGAAATCGCTCAACCTTGCCATGTCTTACTTTTTCTCATCTGTAAAATGGGGACAATGACACCACAGGCTCAGCCAAGGTCTCCACAATACGTCTTTTGTTAAATGTTGCTCCTTTCTCCACAGGCCTGACTTCCCTGGCTGGCTTCAATGTGGATGTGACTCAGACTTGGGTCACATCCAAGGATGAGCCTTTTGTGCTAAGTACCCTTCTGCACCAAGACTCCAGCACCAACCAGACCTGGTGAGTGGGGCCCAGCAGGAACGATGGAGAAGGACTGGGTGGTGGGGAGGCTCTGGGGAGTCTGGGGAAGGCCCCAGGGAAGGTACCTTCCTCTCCTTTTCAGAACCAAGTCCAGGAGACAGGAAGAAGACTTTTAAGTCCGGGTCAGTCCACTTAGAACACTGTTCCTTCTCCTCACCCACGTTTCTTCCTGCCTCACTGCCTGAGTAGGTTTCAGGGTGTGGCAGGGGGAATGTCTGATAGAAGAACTGAGGATGGGATCAGATAGGGTGGTGGGAAAGGAGAGCTGAGAGGCACAGTTTAAAATCTATTTTAAAACATAGTTTATCAGGGAGCTCTGGTGGCCTAGTGGCAAGAAGCTGTGCTTCAATCCCAAAGGTATGCAGTGCAAATCCACCAGATGCTCTGCTAAGAGAAGGAGGGGCAGTCTCCTCCTGTATCAGTCAGATCAGATTTGACCACACACACACACACACACACACACACACACACACACACACAAATAATAAAAAATTAAAAAACAATAACCACATAGTTTATCTTACCCAGCGCTGCCACAACAGAAATACCACAAGTGGGTGGCTTGAAAGAATATACTTTTATTTTCTCACAGTTCTAGAGGCTAAATTCCAAACCAGAGTAGAAATAAAGTAGATTTCTTCCTGGTAGGTGGTCCCAGGAGGTTTTTAGTTCTTCAGCTTGTAGATGATCCTCACAACATCTCTCTTCCCTTATGTGTGTGTTTGTGGTCTCTGATCTGCTTTTTTAATAACTCAGAAGTGATTAAGACTCACAGATAGGACTTCATTAACACAACAAACAAAATGCCCATTTCCAAACAAAATTACACCCATAGGTGCAGAAGTTAGGATTCCAACTCATGTTTTTGAAGGGTGATCATTCAACCCTTCTCCCTCCTTTTACAAAAGGAAACCTACTCACAGTACAGAAAGTTAGGAAAGTGACAAAAAGAATGACAGAACAAAAGAAATATAGAAGAGGATTGAAAATAGTGGCGAAGAGGCAAAGAATCTGGGTCTGCTAATTGTGGTTCCAAAATAGTATATGCTGTGCAGCCTTGGCAATGGAGTTCACCTCTCGCCTCGAAAACGGGTATAGGTTGTTGCAAAGATTATTTAAGATAAGGCACGTAAAGATGTAGCACATATTCTGGCCTATGTAGGGCAAAGTAAAATTTTGAAAAAAAAGGTAGTCTTCTCTCACCTGTTGTTATTGTTGGGGGCTGTCTGTCAAGTGAGCTGTGACTCAGCGATCCAGTGAACAATGGATATGAACTGCCCTTTCCTGAGCCATCCTCACCAGCCCTGATAACACTGCAGTTGCTGTGTGGATCCATCCCGTTAAGGGTCTTCCTTTCTTTGCCTTCCACCCATTAAACAGACCAAAAGAAAAAAAATAAAAGTTTGAAAGTCTGACCACACAGGGCTGGCAAGGCTGCAGCGACACAGGAACTCGTGGGCATGTGACCTGGTGTAACCACTTTGCAATTTTCCATGCCTTGGTAACATTCAAGATGTATGAACTGTCTGAGTCAGCAGTTCCATACCCAAATACCTACCCTGCAGACAGTCTCAGGGGTAAGAAAGGATGTGCATTGTGTGGCATTGGTTTCGAGCACTGAGAGATTGGCAATGTTCATTACGAGGGAAATGGAGAAACGAAGTGTGAATCATGCCACGGGCAGGCAAAAGGAACGAAATTAGTTTAGTGGGTGTTGGGCAGCATCAATCTCAAAACATAATGTAAATGAAAACAGTCAAGTTGGAGGATTATGTATCCACCGTGGCCATTTCCTCGACAGATGGAGCACCTGTGAGGCTCTGTTTCAGCACTGAACACGCAGCAGGGAACAATGACAAACAATGACCAGCTTAAGTGGCTGGTCGGCAGGTGAATAGAATATGCAAATAAGTAAAACACGTATCATCATCAGATCATGATAGTGGCAATATGTTTGTGTCTTTTGTATTAAGAGAAGTCCTAGAGTAAATGCTCACGGTACTCGATTTGCATGCCAATTTCCTTCATTACCCTTCAAATGACTTTCCATTGTTTTAAAGCCACAGTCTAGCCACACTTGATGGTTTGTCCTTAAGCCCCTTTACCAGTTGATTTTGTCCGATTGATTCTGACTCAACTCAAGACGACGCCACGTGTCAGAGTGGAACTGCGCTCCGCGGGCTTCTCAAGGGTTGATTTTCCTGGGCAGCAGATTGCCAGGCCTTTCTTCTGAGGTACCCTAGGTGGACTCCAGCCTTTGATTTATCGGCTGAGCATGCTGTCTGCACCACCCGGGGACTCCTGTGTCTCTATGCTGTTGTTAGTGACTGGAAAGGTGCATTGATTCCTGCTCATGGTGACCCCGTGCGTGACAGAGTACAGTGGCACCACAGGCATTCTTCTTCTCTTCTTCCTCCTCCTCCCCCTCCACTCCCCTCCCC